ATGTAATTATGTGGTTTTGAAATATCTACTTGGTATTGATTTATATTTATTCCACTGCAGTCTGAGAGTCTCCTTGGTATGATTTTGATTTTTAAAACAATTTTTTGAGACTCACTTTATGGCCAAAGATGTGGTTAATCTTTTTTTTTTTTTTTTTTTTTTGAGAAGGAGTTTCACTCGTGTTACCCAGGCTGGAGTGCAATGGCGCGATCTCGGCTCACCGCAACCTCCGCCTCCTGGGTTCAGGCAATTCTCCTGCCTCAGCCTCCTGAGTAGCTGGGATTACAGGCACGCACCACCATGCCCAGCTAATTTTTTGTATTTTTAGTAGAGACGGGGTTTCACCATGTTGACCAGGATAGTCTCGATCTCTTGACCTTGTGATCCACCCGCCTCGGCCTCCCAAAGTGCTGGGATTACAGGCTTGAGCCACCGCGCCCGGCCAATCTTTTTTTTTTTTTGAGAGGAAGTCTCACTCTGTTGCCCAAACTGGAGTTCAGTGGTGTAATATTGGCTTACTGCAACCTCCACCTCCTGGGTTCAAGCAATTCTCCTGCCCTCAGCCTCTCGAGTACCTGGGACCACAGGCATGCACAACCATGCTTGGTTAATTTTTGTATTTTTAGTAGCGACAGTGTTTCACTATGTTGGCCAAGCTGGTCTTGAACTTCTGACCTCATGATCTGCCCTCCTCAGCCTCCCAAAGTGCTGGGATTACAGGTGAGCCACTGTAATCTTATAGTGCCCGGCCACAGTTAATCTTATAGTATGTTCTCTATGCAGATTAGAAGAATGCATACTCAGTGGTTGTCTGTAGAAGTCTGTTAGGTCCAATTGGTAAAGTGTCAAATTTAAGTCTAGAATTTCTTTGTTAGTTTTCTTTTTTGATGATCTATTTAAAGTTGTCAGTGGTGGGCGGTTAAGTCCCTCACTATTATTGTGTGACTGTCTACATCTTTTTGTAGGCTAGAAGTATTTGTTTTATGAATCTTGGTGCTCCAATGTTGGGTGCATGTATATTTGGGACAGTTAAGTTCTCTTGTTGAATTCAACTTTTTATCATTATGTAATGCCTTCCTTGTTCTTTTTTTACTGTTGTTGGTTTACTGTTTTATCTGATATGCAATAGCAATCCTTGCTTTCTTGTTTTCTATTTGCATGATAGATCTTTCTCCATCCCTTTACTTTTTTTTTTTTTTATTGCATTTTAGGTTTTGGGGTACATGTGAAGAACATGCAAGATTGTTGCATAGGTACACACATGGCAGGGTGATTTGCTGCCTTCCTCCCCATCGCCTATATCTGGCATTTCTCCCCATGCTATCTCTCCCCAACTCCCCAAGCATCCCTTTACTTTTAACCCATGAGTGTTATTACATGTAACATGAGTCTCATGGAAACAGCAGACAATTGGGTCTTGCTTTTTTGTCTAATTTGCCACTCTGTGACTTATTTTTTATTTTTTTAAACAGAGTTTTGTTCTTGTCACCTAAGCTAGAGTGCAGTGGTGAGATCTTGGCTCACTGCAACCTCCACCTCCTGGGTTCAAGTGATTCTCCTGCCTCAGCCTCCCAAGTAGCTGGGATTATAGGCGCTCACCACCATGCCTGGCAAATTTTTGCCTTTATAGTAGAGATGGGGTTTTGCCATATTGGCCAGACTAGTCTCAAACTCCTGACCTTAGGTGACTTGCCTGCCTTGGCCTCCCAAAGTGCTGGGATTACAGGTGTGAGCCACCATGCCCAGCCCAGTTTGTGACTTTTAAGGAGGGCATTTAGACTGTTTAAATCAAAGGTTAATATTGATATGTGAGATTTTGTTCCTGTCATGATGTTGTTAGCTGGTTGCTTTGCAGTCTTGATGGTGTAGTTGCTTCACAGGGCCTGTGGGCTAAGTTCGTAAGGGTGTTTTTGTAGTAGGAGGCATTTTTCTTTCATTTCTGTGTTTAAAACTCACTTAAGGATTTTTTGTAAGCTTGGTCTAGTGGTAATGAATTCCCTTAGCATTTGCTTGTCTGGAAAGGACTTTATTTCTCCTTTGCTTATAAAGGTTAGTTTGGTGGGATACGAAGAATGCTGAAAATAGGTCCCTACTCTTCTGGCTTGGAAGGTTTCTGCTGAGAAGCCTGCTGTTAGCCTGATGGGGTTTCCTTTGTACTTGATCTGACCCTTTCCTCTAGCTGCCTTTAAGGTTTTATGTTTGTGTTGGCCTTGAAAAGTCTGATGACTATGTGTCTTGGGTAGGGTTGTCTTGTATAGTATCTTGCAGGGGTTCTCTGAATTTCTTGAATTTGCTTTTTTTTTTTTTTGAGATGGAGTCTTGCACTGTTACCTGGGCTGGAATGCAGTGGCATGATCTTGGCTCACTGCAACCTCTGCCTCCTGGGTTCAAACAATTCTCTTGCCTAACCCTCCCAAGTAGCTGCGATTATAGGCACCTGCCGCCACGCCCAACTATATATATATATATATATATATATATATTTGTATTTTTTTTAGTAGAGATGGGGCTTGCCTCTGTTGGCCAGGCTGGTCTTGAACTCCTGACCTCAGTTGATCCACCTGTCTTGGCCTCCCAAAGAGCTGGGATTACAAGCATGAGCTACTACACCTGGCCTCTCATTCCTTTTTTTTTTTTTTTTTGAGACAGAGTCCTGCTCTGTTACCCAGGCTAGAATGCAGTTGCATAATCTTAGCTCACTGGAACCTCTACCTCCTGGATTCAAACAATTCTCCTGCCTCACCTCCCGAGTAGCTGGGATTACAGGCATGCACCACCATGCCTGGCCAAGATCCTCATTCCTTTCAAGCTTCCCAGTAATAAATCCACTACACAGTTGGGCCTGAAATAAGAATAAGCTCCCTGTAACTCACTACTGATCAAGAATTTGAAGCCAGCCAGGCCAACTTGGCGAAACCCCATCTCTACTAAAAATACAAAACTTAGCCTAGCTGGTGTCACATGCCTGTAGTCCCAGCTACTCGGGAGGCTGAGGCAGGAGAATTGCTTGAACCTGGAAGACAGAGGTTGTAGTGAGCCAAGATCATGCTACTGCGCTCCAGCCTGGGTGACAGAGCGAGACTCCTTCTCAAAAAAACCCCAAAACCCAAAACCAAAAAAACTGGGAGATGGGAACTCAGTTACAGTGTGTTATTAGCAGCTAGGGTATGATATTGCAATGCAGTTCTTTCTATTGAGTGGAGCATGGGGTTTAGAATCAAAGGGTTATTTCTGAACCACAAGAGTTCTAATCCTCCCTCCAGGCATCTGAGGAATAGCCAAGTGCTTTGTTCTTGTCAAGGGTGTCAGAGATGTCAGCACATTTGGGCCACTCTCTTGCTCAGGTTAACTTGCCCCATAATGGTTAAGAGCAAAAGAGAGCAGCACTCTGGAGAGATGGCTCTGCTTGGAGGAAGCACATCCTGCCTCAGCTGAGATGTCGCAACGCACAAGTGACAAGTCAGAGCTAGTGAGAGAGGGTGGGGAAGGGGGAGAGAGGGAAAGATCCATGTATTTGCAGGACCTGCATGTGTCTGTTTACCAGTGAAGATGTCCTCATTGGTGTGCTGGGATCCGTACCCAATTTGTGGGGAAAGAAATGCAAACCAGGGGTGGGGGGTGCAGGAGAAGAAGAATAGAAGCCTTGTTGACCTACATTTTTCATTATCTGGGCACAGAACACTTATGTCCTGGGATTCCTCTTAAACAGAAGTCAGATTCAGTGGAACATGATTTAGAAAGCATCATTCTGGAGCACAGTTCCCCTGGGACCCCCGAATCCTCATCTGCTTCTGGCCTCTGCTCACCTTGGGCCCTGGATTCCAGCGCCCCCTGGGCTCCCAGCTGCCTCCCTGTCTCTGCCCCACAGTTCTGCTCAGAGTTCTGGTCCCTGGTTTTAGTTTATGTTCCACTCTCATTCTTTCTTTGCTCCAGTTTATCTTTAACTTTGCACTGATACATTTTCAGTATTTAAAAAAGTCACTTCAAATCTTTCTTGAATAATATCAGAGTACGAGTGAAAAAAATCCCTGTGCAAACATAAATGTATCTGGATCTGCATCCCACCCCTTAAGACCTAGATAATATCGGTTCTAATCCTCTTGGCCCGTCTCGTGAGAAGCCGTCTTGACCTCCACTGCCTGGATATCTCTAGATCATTGACTTTTTTAGGTACATTTTCTATTTCCCCATGACTGCAGGTGAGAGTTTTACAGAATTTTTACTGATACATAACAAGGGTCTCCTTCCTCCAGATTCCACTAGAGTTTCTATCGCTTTCCCATACACTGCACTGACATCTTCTGGAACACCTTTAGGCTTCTACCCAGTGCTCTGTCCCACAGCCAAATACCCCATGTTTTATGTTTTTGTTATATCTGCAACCTACTTCAAAATCTGTTCTAGTTATACTACCGTGAATAAAAACTACCCTAAAGCAGTGATTTAAAACAACAAAAGTCCTATATTATTTTGTGATGCACCTGCAGTTTGGGCAGAGCTCAGTGGAGATGGTGTGTGCTCTACATGGGTGTCTCCTGGCAGCCCAACGGGGGCTGCAGCATCTACTCCCAATATGACACACCACATGGTCGGCTAGGGCCCTCCTGTGGTTTAAAGCCTGGTCTTAAAATCAGCATCGCATTGCTTCTGCCATATTCAAACATTCTGTTGGTCAACCAGTCACAGATCCCAGATTAAAGGGGACACAGACTCCACCTCTAAATGGGAGGAATGTCGAATTCTGGAAGTATTTTTTCTTTTTTTTGGAGATGGAGTCTAGCTCTGTTGCCCAGACTGGAGTGTAGTGGTGTGATCTCGGCTCACTGCAACCTCCACCTCCTGGTTCAAGCGATTCTCCTGCCTCAGCCTCCCAAGTAGCTGGAATTATAGGCACACACCACCACGCCTGTCTAATTTTTTTCTATTTTTAGTAGAGACGGGGTTTTACTATGTTGGCAAGGCTGGTCTTGAACTCCTGACCTCGTGATCTGCCCGCCTCAGCTAGGATTACAGGCATGAGCCACTGTGCCCAGTCTCTGGAGGTATATATATTTTTTAAAGCCTCATATCTGTACTATCTTTAAAAAGTTGGCTATTTTTACCAACTTGGCTCCTGCCTCTGGCCCCAGTGGTCCAGAGGTTTCTCTTTTTCCTCCCTAGCTGCTTTCCAGAAACTCTAAGGGTATTCCCCTGACTTTATGATGTAGAGCAGTTCAGCTTCCTCCAACCTATATCCAAATGCTTGAGGTCTAAATTGTCCAGTCAAGGTCACAAGGTGCCCAAACAACTCATAAGCCTGAGACAGTTTTGAAGTTTCTGTCTTTCCCTTTTTTTTTTCTCCATGGCCATCTCTGCAAGGGGAGAAGGCAAAATAGAGGTTTACTTCTCTCTAAAATCAACTATGTTGCTTCACCTAGAAACAACTTCAGTCAGTTTTGGTCAAATAGACATTTCCACCCTTTTTCATTTGCATAAAACACACGGTCCCCTGACTTCTGTGGACTCCTTGGAGTTGATCTCCTGTTCCTCCTCCTTGGGCTACATTCTCTTCTGGCCCTCCAGGCATGACTCTGTAAGTCCTTCTTAATTCCCTGCTACCATATTTGCACAACAGTTGAGAAACCAGAATATCTATGGTCTAGTTTTCACAAATACAGAGGTTATTCACGAATATTAATATTTTCACTTCTCTTTTCTGCTTTCTGGGTGAGTCAGTTCAGACTTTTTGTTCTGGTCCCTGGGAGCCTTGCTGGGAAGCCCAATCTGGGTCTGAGAGTGCATAGATCGTGGCGGATGGTGTATCATCCCCCATGGGGCTCTGCAGCCTAGAAAGTGGCACGACCAGGAAGTCAGCAGGTGGAGGAGGCAAATGAACAGAGGATTAGACTTTTTCTCCTTTCCTTTGTCATCTTTCATCCATGTGGGTTTTTATATTTATTTACTTACACACAGTTTTATTCCAAAACTTCTTCGAACTGGGTCATAAAGCCAACTGCATATTGCAAAGTAGAAGAAACTAAGCTTTGAGAAATCAGGTAAAAAGTGACAAATGACAGCTGCTGGTGGAATGCTACCTGTCCTGACTGACCCTCTTGCAAATGTTGTCTAGGTGAGACAAAGATATTTGAACCCTGAGATTTCTTTTATTGGTTTTGTTTGTTTTCCTTGGTATAGACCTAGGAGTGTAATTACCCGGTCATAGGGTGGATTTAGTAGACACCACCAGTTTTCCAAAGTGGGTGTACTAATTTTCACTCCAGTAGCAATGTAGGAGTGTTTCGAACAGTATATTCTTGTCAACATGTGATGCTAGGTTTTTGTTGTTGTTGTTGTTTTTTAAATCTTAGCCATTTTGGTGAATGCATAGTGGTACTTTGGCATAGTGGTATCTCATTGAGATTTTACTTTGCATTTCTCCAAAAAACAATGCTTTTGCGCACTTTTTGATATGCTTATTGGCCATTTGAGTATTCTCTGTTTACGAAATGCTGGCTATTGTGCCTATATTTTTGTTTTTAAAAATGGAGATTTTTGTGTTCTTCTAATTACTAGACGTTCTTTCTATACGTTCTACATAGACGCCTTCTTCTATACAGAATGTTATGAATATCTTCACACATTCTGTGGCTTTTCCTCGCTTTCTTAATAGCGTCTTTTGATAAACAAAAGTTTTTACTTTTAAGTAAGTCTAATTTGTCAGTGGTTTCTTTCATAGTGTTTTGGGATCTTCTGGAAGAAATTTTTGCCTACCTTAAGCCAAGAAGATATCATCCTACCTACTCTAGAAGCTATACTATATCATCTTTCATATTTAGGTCTATGATTCATTTGAAATTAATTTTTGTATATGGAGTGAGGTAGGGTTTTCAATTGCTCTGACACCATTTCATGAAGAGATCATCCTTTTTCCCACTAAAATGCAGCAGTGTCTTTGTTGTAATTTTGGTGACCTCATGTGTGTGTTTCTCTTTGTTGCAGTCTCTATTCATTTATATGCTTATCTTTATGCCTGTGTCATGTTGTCTCAGTTACTGTAACTTTATATGAAGTTAAAACACTGTGATTCTTTTTCAAGACTCTTTTGGCTAATCTTAGTCTTCTGCATTTTCATTTATATTTTAAAATAAGTTTGTCAATTTCCACCAACAATACCACTTGAATTTTACTAAAGTTATATCAAATCTATCAATCAGTTGGTGAGAATTTACATATTAATATTTTTTTTGAGACAGAGTCTCGCACTGTAGCCTGGGCTGGAGTGCAATGGTGCTATCTCAGCTCACTGCAACCTCTGCCTCCTGGTTCAAGTGATTCTCTTGCCTCAGCCTCCTGAGTAACTGGGATTACAGGTGCCCACCACCACTCCCAGCTAATTTTTTATACTTTTAGTAGAAACGAGGTTTCACTATGTTGGCTAGGCTGGTCTCGAACTCCTGACCTTGTGATCTGCCTACTTTGGCCTTCCAAAGTGCTGGGATTATAGGTGTGAGCCACCACACCTGGCCTTACATATTCATATTTAGTCTTCAGTCCACAAAGATACGTTTCCATTTATTTTGGCTTTCTTAAATTTCTCTCAGCAAAAGTTTTGTGATTTTCAGTGTAACTTTCTTGTACATCTTTTGTTAGATTTACCTTTATTGTTGGTGATTTTGATGCTTTTGAAAAGGATATTGTTTTTCTATTTTTATTTAAACTTGTATACAAAACATTATTTCCTATACAAAAATATAATTGATTTTTGCATATTAACCTTGAATCCAGACACTTTACTGAAATTAATTAATTCTAATAGTTTATCCATTCCTTTAGATTTTCCAGGTATATAGTCATCTGCAAATAATGGTAGTTATATTTCCACCCTTATAGGTTTATTCTTTTTATTTCTTTTTCTCACCTATTGCATTGTCTAGGATTTCTAGTAAGTGTTAAATGGAAATGGTGACAGTAGACATCTTTGTTTTGTTCTCAAATTGAGTGGGAAAGTGTTTAGCATTTCACATTTAAGTATAATGTTAGCTATAAGGTTTTGTTTGCTTATATACTTTATTATATTTAAAAGTTACTTTCTACTTTCTATTCTTAGTTTTCTGAGAGTTAAAAATTCACGAACAGATATTTTATTGTATTTTAGCTTTTTCTGGATGTATTGAAATTATCATATATTTTTCACCTTTATTTTTGTCAATCTGGTGCTATATATTTCCTGATTTTTTAAAAAATGCAATGTTTTACAAATTTGCGTGTCATCCTTGTGGAGGGGGCATGCTAATCTTCTCTGTATTGTTCTAATTTTAGTGTATGTACTGCCGAAGTGAGCACCAGTTCCCAATTTTTAAATGTTAAAGAATTCTTGCATTCCTGGAATAAGTCTCACTTAGTCATGGTGTATTATTATTTTTACCTGTTGCTGGATTTGACCTGCTAATACTTTGTTGCAGTTTTACCATCTCTGTCCATGACAGATAGTAATCTGTACTTTTCATTTTTGTAATGTCTTGTCAGACTTGTGTATAAGGATTATGCTATCCTTTTCCAGTGAGTTAGAGCACGTTTGTTTTTTCTTTATTCACTGGAAGGGGTTGTGTAAGATTGGTTTTATTCTTTCTTAAATATATGTTTTGAAGAATTTACAAGTGAAGTTTTCTGGGCCAGGAATGTTTCGGCTGGGAAAGGCATCTTGAAATCTTGATGTTTATCTTCTCATTGTATTTTTTTTCCTTAGGATGTTTGCAGTGGTCCAGAAGAAAAAAGTTTCCTGTGAGATCTATTTCAATCACTTCAAGGAAAATAAGGTGGAGATAGCAAATGCAATAACAAAGCTATTTCCTTTTCTTGAAAGCCTCAGGGACAATTCCTTTATCACTGAAAAAATGTATGCTGTAAGTGAAGTTTATTACATCACCCATGGTAGTCTGGCCCCCACATTAATTTATATTTGGCATCCTGGATTCAAAGTTTAGTACACTGCTAACTGCCTGAAAGGCCTTTCATACCTTTTGTGGAAAGACCCTTTTCTGTTGGTTACTTATTGTATAAGGTAGAAGGTAATGGGGCAAACAGATGTCATTAAAGATACTTCTATTTCTTTTCCTTTTTTTCCTCCTCCTCCTCTTCTTTCTTTCCTTCCTTCCTTCCCTCCCTCCCTCCCTCCCTCCCTCCTTCCCTCCTTCCCTCCTTCCCTCCTTCTTTCCTTCCTTCCTTCCTTCCTTCCTTCCTTCCTTCCTTCCTTCCTTCCTTCCTT